TCTAGTATACTTTGATGACATTATAACGGACAGGGCCAAATATTGTCTCCCTTCTTCCCTCTCCATCTCCCTCTCAAATACAATCTCTCTCACTCTCTCTCTCCCTCTCTCTCTCTCACTCCCTCTCTCTCCCTCTCTCTCTCTCTCTCTCTCTCTCTCTCTCCCCCCCCCCTCTCTCTCTCTCTCTCTCTCTCTCCTTTTTTAAGAATTCCCAGTCACCAATGCCCTTCTCTTTGTCGTCTGCACCTACGCCTATCCCCTCCCCTCCCGCACAGACCACAAAGCTGACATAACAGGAAAGCCTCAAGCAGCCAGCCTCCTAACTGACCTAAACATTACCCTGTGACTGACCTGGCCAAAAGGTCCCTCCTCAAAGATCAGGCGGTCCTCCAGCTGCTGCAGCTGCAGTCTCTCGTACTCCACGGCCACAGCCTTAGCGTAACTCGACGCCTCGCCCACCGTCATCTGGGGAAGAGAAACGGGGAGAAATAGATAAATAAATTACATAAATAAATAAATAACAAATAAATGATTAAACGAATAAAAGAATAAATCAATGAAGAAATAAATAATAAATAAACGAATAGATGAATAAATAAATACATAAATAAATAAATAAATCAATGAATAAAAAAGTAAGTAAATAAATAAATGAATAAATGTATTTAAAAAAATTAAATACAGGAAAAATACATAAGGAAACAAAATAAATAACTAAATAAATATTTTTCTTAAAACACAACAACAAATAAATAAATAACATCTAATCCATTGCTATCCTTCAAAAAAAATATTTTACAAAGACGTACAAAAAATACATAAATACATTTCTACATACATTAACCCTCTGACTGCTGGGTCTGCTGCATAGGCCTATCAAAGAGCCTCAGACAGTTTCGAGCCTGGCAGTGAAAGGGTTGATACATGACATATATTACAATAATATGTAATGTTGTGAATACAGACACACCATTGCTTTTGGCCACTGTGAAGAGGCCTGTTTTTAAGAAAGGGTTATATTGTGTTGCTCAAAGACACACCCAAGTGACCACACACAAAACCCCGTCTCTGAGGTCACAAATAAGCCAATGAAGCCCTCAGTAGATTGTGAAAAATTTATACACCCCCCTCCCCCACGGACAAAGTGTAGACAAATTAGGAAGCGAACGATTGGAAGACATTTACAGTCGCAAAAGCACCATTTGGATCAGGAGATTTAGAAAATAGAACCTACCCACACGCTTATGGAGTTCTACATGTAGTTTTTTCTTTCACGAGCTTCACAATTACACAGCAGACGTTGTCTTCTGAGAACGGATATAAGTCACACATTGCAGGTAATAGCGGCCCCACTTCCTCAGGAAGTACGTCATGAAAGATAATAAAAATTATAATGGAAGGAGATAACGAAGTATGGCAGAGTATCCCTTTCTCCTTGGGTGGTTGGCGGGTGCTCTGATATGGTTTGCTTGTTCTTTACTATCAAAAATCTATGTAGTCCTTACCTCTTCTCCTTTTTGTGTTTGTTATTCCTCTAATCTTAGGCCCTTACTCACGTAACTGTGCTGCAAGTGCCGTAAAACTTTTATTAAATCTAAAACTCTCTGTCTCTGTCTGTCTGTCTCTCTCTCTCCATTTCCCTCTCCCTCCCTCTTCCCATTTGCCACTCCACTCTCTTTCTCTTCTGCCCTTGCACCCTGTATCCCCCTTCAGACAAATACACAGACACAGACACAGACAGACAGACAGATATACACACACACAAACACACACAAACACATGCCCGCACACACACCTAATCAATATCCTAATTTATTATCTTTTTACTCTCTTCCTCTCATTCTCTCTTATAAACACCAATTCGATCTATCTATCTATCTATATACCACCCCCCCCCATTTCTCCCCCGCCCCCCCCTCTCTCCCACGCCCACACCCATTCATTTCTCCTCCCCACCCCCCCACCCCCCACCCCCCACCCCAGTTCTCCTTCACCAGTTTCTTTCGCCGGGTTTCTGTCTGTCTGTCCCTAGAATCGTTTTAATTCCCCGGGGCCCTCGATGGCTTTGAATACAACTGAACTCTTGGATAACCCAATCTGGAGGGCCAAAAGCAGCCAAAAAAATCTGATTAACTCTTGTAGGGGAAGCCTGGAAAATAGGGAGGAGGTTCCCGGGAATGGTGGGGAAAAGAAAAAGCCAGTGAAAATAAGAGTTGTTGTATGGGATCGCGGGATCTTGGAGTGGACGGAAGAAAGGAGCGCGGTCCAGGAGGGAGCTGGCTTTGAGAGTGCTTTTGAGGAGAGGAAGGGAAAGGGTGGGAGGAAGAGAAGAGGAGGGAAGAAAGAAAGGACGTTGGACAAGAGACAGAAAAGAAGGTGTATATAGAAAGAAATACAGAAGAATTAGGATAAGGAAGAAGCAATACATGTTTGTAAAACAGGGGACAGAAAGTAAGGCGGGTGGGGGTGGGGGGGGAGTTCGTATTTTATGTCAGTAGCT